TTAATAGTTATTCTATGGTTAATTAATAGTTAATAACAGTTATTGCAATTATAATTTCAATTTTTTATGAAAATCTTATAATTATGAATGCATAAATGGTAGGCTGATAACAAGGTGATGAAGAGAGACTAAATAAAGGAGGAGGTGGTAAGACTTTGGTGCCAATCACAGTGGGCCACCACAGCAACACTAGAAAGCATAATCATTTCATTATTTTGTGCTATTTCAGTGTTCTTTTCTTGTCAGTTGCAATGTCTAAAAGCCTGGACTAGCTTCACTATGTCCTTTGTGAACAAGCCTGCTAAAAAGGAACAACAGTTTACAAAGTGAACCTAGTAAGTACAGTATAGAAGTCAATAATATAGATTATCTCATATTCTTATTTTAGGTCAGTCTCTTGCTGAATCAGTTGATGATCATGAGTCTCAGTCTACTCTTGTGGTTGATACAGCTACAGTTTTTACAGCTACAGTTGATGTACAGTCAATTGTTGCTCATTCTCCATCACCCTATTCTTCTACTTCCTCTACTAATACTACTACTAGTACTATTACCACTACAGAAGTCAGTGTTGGAGCTACACCACCCACTACTTTATTACAATAACCTTCGCTACCAAAAAATTGCGCTAAAAAGGGTGCGTAAAAAGGGTGTGGCCAAAATCGCGGCGCGCTTCGCGCGCCCAACCCATTTCCTGTGCCACACCCATGCCCAACTAGTAGTCAAATCCTGCAGCCGCCTATGTATACAGGTTAGAGTTAGAATCTATGAAGTATGAGTTTGTTACAAGAGCTAAAGTGTACCAAAAATAGTTGATTTTGTTGTACCTATAACTGATTGCAACATAGCTTTACAGAGACAAAAAACTTGCTGTAGGTAGCTCTAAAAATTATATGTGCAATAGGCTAAAGATCATAAGCAAGCGTTGTCCTGGAGCAACACAAATTTCTTTCAAAATCCTTCCAGAGCAACTTCACCATTTTCATTTACTCCAATATCTATGGACAAGAGTAGATAATACTTAGAAGAGAGTGTCCTACTGTGCATATACCCCCTGCTTCATCACCGCGTAGAATTGAAGAGTCACATTCAGGATATTTTCAGTATTCTTGAGTAGTTACCGTACAGCTGGTTAATTTTGCGGAGAAAAATTTTGCAAATCCTTAAAAATAACCTGGTTTGCGGATTAAATATTTGCGGTTTTGACAGTTATTGTAGCATTATCTACTGTGGTCATGCATGAATTCCATTATTTTGCGGATTTAAATTTTGCGCTTTAAATGGAATCGCAAACTCGCAAAATTTAATTCCCCGCAAATATTTCCTGCTGTACGGTATTCGAAAATAACTAGCAATAACTATAACTACTCAATGAAAATACTGAAAATATCCTGAATGTGACTCTTCAATTCTACGCCGTGATGAAGCAGACCCTATAGCCAGTAGGACACTCTCTTCTAAGTATTATCTACTCTTGCTATGGATAATATATGGATAGTTATCTAAATAGAATAATTACGGTCCCAATTAGCATTTTTCGTTGCTACGCCCCGTTTCCAATCCCTTTCATTTACTCTAATCATAGATATTATAGACTATGTAACCTATAATACGTAGTCTATAATATCTATGCTCTAATATCTATGAAAATACGCAGAAAAAGGCGTATTTTGCGCGGAATAAGCATTACAAGTAGGAGAGTACAGAATTAAATTATTTTTATTACATGTTAACGATACAGAGGTTATGCAAATAGCAATTTTGCTATAATAATATAAATATAATTTTGTTCCCACTTTAATTCACTTCTCTTTAATCTAATGATGGAGTCTATTGTTGCTAAGAATACACCAGTGAGAGAATTTAAGAAACAAATTATTGGCCTCGCCTACGCGAGGTATAGGTAGTTGTTGTGTGTGTCTGTCATTCATTCATTCATTCTGTACAACTGAAATTTGTTTTTAATAAACAATAACTTTAGCACAGCGTGTTCTAAGCTCCTAGATCTTTCTTTTTGACGTGGAAAAGTCTTTCTTAACTGTTTTGTGTTGCTCAAATACAAGTGCTAGGTACAGAAGCTTCAAAGTAAGAAAATCGAGTAGTTGGGCCAAGTTCCGTTGTGTTGGCACTTTAGAGATAGCTGGTAACATTTTTCAGTAGATTAGAACATGGCCTTCAAAAATTATGAACAGATTTCTCTAAATCTTACTTGATGAAGAGTTATACTTACTTGAAATTGTTGAGGTCACTCGTTTGTGCAGCGCTAGAGCAACAACTTGCTGGGTTATTGGTACTAAAGTACCTATACTATCTCAAATATACAAAGGCAGCAACTTTTTTGTCAGCAAGTTTATCATATATTGCTGATTAGTAAAGAAAAATTGAAGCTTCTTTCTCACATGGTGTTCTTGCTGACACTCATTCCAGTCATGGAATGCCACACCTTTCAATCTACATGCATGGGAGGGGCTGGAGCTGCTTGCATATGTATGTGCTGCAGTGCTGCTACTTCTGCAGGTATTCAAGAGCAAGTGCAACTGTAGGAAGCTAGTGTTAAGCAGACTCTCTTCATGCTGATAATCAAACAGTTATTGAAGTGCAAGCA